TTGTAACAACTTCAAAAAAGTATAGTTGTTATATCTTCTTCCCCCACCCCCCCACCCCGGTTTTTTTGTGAGTGTGTATGTGGGTGAATTAATTTGTTTATTTTTAGCGTCCACCAATGAGTGAGAACATGTGGTATTTCTTTTTCTCTGCCTGACTCGTTTCACTCAATATTATTCTCTCAAGGTCCATCCATGTTGTTGCAAATGGCCTAATAATATTGATTTAATCAACACATGTTGTACACAGGTGATACAGTGTTGACTACCATCACCTGTGTACAACATGTGTTGATTAAATCAATATTATTATACAGTGTTGACTACCATCACCTGTGTACAACATGTGTTGATTAAATCAATATTATTATACAGTGTTGACTACCATCACCTGTGTACAACATGTGTTGATTAAATCAATATTATTATACAGTGTTGACTACCATCACCTGTGTACAACATGTGTTGATTAAATCAATATTATTATACAGTGTTGACTACCATCACCTGTGTACAACATGTGTTGATTAAATCAATATTATTATACAGTGTTGACTACCATCACCTGTGTACAACATGTGTTGATTAAATCAATATTATTATACAGTGTTGACTACCATCACCTGTGTACAACATGTGTTGATTAAATCAATATTATTATACAGTGTTGACTACCATCACCTGTGTACAACATGTGTTGATTAAATCAATATTATTATACAGTGTTGACTACCATCACCTGTGTACAACATGTGTTGATTAAATCAATATTATTATACAGTGTTGACTACCATCACCTGTGTACAACATGTGTTGATTAAATCAATATTATTATACAGTGTTGACTACCATCACCTGTGTACAACATGTGTTGATTAAATCAATATTATTATACAGTGTTGACTACCATCACCTGTGTACAACATGTGTTGATTAAATCAATATTATTATACAGTGTTGACTACCATCACCTGTGTACAACATGTGTTGATTAAATCAATATTATTATTTGTTTGTTATTGATTTCTAGTTTTAATCCATTGTGGTCTGAGAAAATACATGGGATAGTTCTGAAAAATATTTACCCAGTCATAACACCGAAAACTTTGAATATTAATTTAACAAAAATCTATACTGGTAAGGTGGGAAGAAAAGAAGCTCACGTACACTGGGAAGCAGGGGAGTGAGAGAGCTAAAATCATCACATTTGAAATTAAGTCAGTGGAAAACATCCAAACCAAAAAATTAATAAATAACAGATTAATGAAGTTTTTTCTGATACATGAAAGTAATAAACACTAGAATAAATAGGTAATAAAAAAGGGTGATTCTCTCTTTGCCACATCTACTGCAAGAATGAAGACCATTCTCAGCAATCAGACTGTCAACATTCCTGAAAATATCGACATCACTCTGCAGGGGCACACAATTATAGAGAAGGCCTTCAGAGGGACCCTGTAGAAGGACTTCAATCATATCAACGTAAATCTCAGTCTCTTTAGAAAGAAAAAGAAGAGGCTCCAGGTTGACAAATGGTGGGAAAATAGAAAGGAATGGACTACTGTTCACATTATCTGTAGTTATATACAGAACATGATCAAGGTGTGTTACACTGGGCTTCCATTACAAGATGAGGTCTATGAATGCTCAGTTCCCCATCAATGTCATTATCAGGAGAATGGGTCTCTTATTGAACTCTGAAACTTCTTGAGTGAAAAATACATCTGCAGGGTTTGAATGAAGCTAGGTGTTGCTTGTTCACTATCTCAAGCCCAGAAAGATGAATTAATCGTTGAAGGAAATGACATTGAACTTGTTTCAATTTCAGCTGCTTTGATCCAGCAAGCCACAACACTTAAAAAACAAAAATATCAGAAAATTTCTTGATGGCATTTATGTCTCTGAAAAAGGAACAGTTCAGCAAGCTGACAAATAAGATCTAAGACTTGTCCAGCTACAGAAACAAGCTACAGGAAATTCCCAAGACATGTTTGTAAATGCTAATGATGGAATAAAAGACCTCTATTCAAGGGGGGTGGGGAGAGATTGCGTAAGTGGCATAAACAGTTACAATTTGTAATAATGAATATGCTAATAATATTGATTTAATCAACACATGTTGTACACAGGTGATGGTAGTCAACACTGTACCCCCAAAATATGTATAATCAATTATGCTTTAATAAAATAAATAAATAATAAAGACCTCTATGGATGAGGCCTTTTTCTTAAAAAAAAAAGGGGGGGGGGGCAGTGGAAAGTGATTGCCTCTGAGGAGCAGAATAGGAATAGAATATAAGAGGTAAACAGAGGACAGCTGTTTTGCATATAAAACTATTTGACTTTTTAAACCAAATACATGTACTACTTTGATAAAAATTTAAATAAGAGTAACCAAGAGTAATTAAATTAGAAACACATATAAACACACACAAATAGTACTAACATACTTTGTGGATACACAGGAATTTTTTTTTAAAGTACTAAAATATGGATAGGAAAGATATATAAAGTTAGAAGAGTAGCTATCTAAAAGGGAAGAAGAAAAGCAGGCAGCAGTGGCCTGTACCTGTAGTGCTTTATCTCTTTTTTAAAAAAATTAGTAGCAAATACGACAAAATATAACAGTTAAATCTAGGTGGAAAACACCCGGGAAGTTCTTGTATATATCCCGCTATAAAAAGAGCTCTGTAAGGATAGGCGTTACTTTATTTTGTCTACCTATTTTTCTCTATCTGTGCTTAGAAAATGCCTGACATTTAGCCATCTCCCCGCCCCACATCTGCAACCAGCCCAGCAATGACCACTGAGCCACCACTGGAAACACCCTCAGCTCCTGAGCTAGGGCTTCAGTCACACCCCCCTGACATCTGCATCCAGCCCAGCAACAACCAAGCCACCAGTTGAAGCCCCCTGGTCTCCCCTGCCAGAATGGGGGGATGCCATGGGCCTCGACCATGCCCTTCCTCCCTCCTCCTCCTCCCACACTCTTTCCCTCCCTCTTTCCTTCTCCCCCTCCCTGCAACTGCTCTGCAACATCTTAGAATGCAAAAATATATATATTAATAAATTTAAAAAATAAAAATGAAATAACACACTGTCCCCCACAAAAATATAATTAAATGTTAAAAGAATAAAATAAAGCTCAAAATTTCTCTAAGCGGGAAAAAAAAAAGAAAATACTTGGCACAGAGTAGGTACACAATAAATACTTGTGAAGTGCATAAATTATTCCCTGTACTTCCTGTGTATTTAGAATATTTCATAATAAATTGTTTAATAAAAATACATATGCTTTATAAAAAAGCTTGAATAATTTATAAATATATACAGTAAAAGGTCTTCTTACCCTTTTCCAGGGATAACTTACCACTTTGGTGTGTATTTTCCAGACACTTTCTAAATACCACCTACATGGGATACTATAAGTACTATTTTACAGCTTGCTGTTTTCAGCACAGTTTATTTTTTAAATTACTGAAAAAAATTTTTTGAAACCCAGACTCTATCATTCTTAATTCAGTCCATTCTCAATAGATCATGTGACAAATCTGCCTTTAAATTTATGACCACAATCTTCAAAAGTTTGCCTCTGGTGCTGCCCAGCAAACACATAACTCCATTGACCCCTCCTCCTCTAGAGGACTTATTTAATAGTCCTTTTTATTTGAATTTCCAATACTGTACCTCCTTTCCCTCAATCTTAGCTGATGATCTTCCTTCAAGTTTCACTGAGCAAAGAGAAGAAAACAGGCAAAAGCCTACACAAGTTCTCATCATCACATCTTCCAAACCTCCTGTATCTGTACCCATACATCCATTATCCTAAAGTGAACACTTCCACATGGGCTCCTATTTTCTACTCAAGGATATTGCTTCAGCAATTCTCCCTGCTCTCCCACATCATCAATTTTTCCTTCCTGACATTACACTAAGTGAAATAAGCCAGGCAGAGAAAGACAAATACTGCATGATCTCATACATATGTAGAATCTAAAAAAGTTGAACTCATAGAAGCAGAGAGTAGAATGGTAGTCTCCAGGTGTTGGGGAGTGGAGGGGAGAGAAATAGGGAGATGTTGGTCAAATAGTAAAAGTTTTAATTAGGATGAATAAGTTCTGGAGATCTACTGTACAGCATTAAGACTAAAGTTAGTAATAATGTAGTGGATACTTAAAATTTGCTAAAAAAGATCTTAAATCTCACCACAAAAAAGCGGTAAGTATGTGAGGTGATGGATTGGTTAACAGCTTGATTTAATTATTTCACAATGTAAACTTATATCAAAACGTCACATTGTACACCATATATATACATACACAATTTTAACTTGTCAATTATATCTTAATAATTAAGTAGAGGTGGGGGGAGGGGAGATAGGGGAGAAAAAATTGATATGTGTATTGCATTACCTGAGTGAATGAGTCAACGGAGGATACAGCAGCATTACCTACAGGAGTCTGCTGAGCCAGACTGTCCAATAATTCCACTGAAATTCCAATCTGAGCAACAGATGGAGTTCGGACAATATTCATGGCTCCAAAAGGGTGTTGACTTCCTTCTCCTGCAAGAAATTAACATGTGCCACTTATTTCAAATTTACCTTCTATTCACACAAATTTCCTTATTATTAAATATGTGAAGAAACTCTGATCTATAGACACTAAAAAGTTTTCTTATGTGCAAGTCTGTCTCTTTTCAGATAAATGCAAAAGGCTACTCAGTTTTTAGCATATTAACAAAGAATAAAAGAACTAAAAGTTTCTCACCAGAAAAGTAGTTGTTACTTTTCTAAAACTTATTAAAACTACTACAGCTAAGAACAACAGAATTAGAGAAAAATGAATAGGAATTAACTAGACAAAAGACACTTAACGCTAACTCTGAAGAAATGATACTTTTAAAGATTTTTAGAACTAGTTTTAACATTCTCTGATTAGTCCACTAAAGAAAGATCTTTAAATTGCCATTATTACCAATAAACAACATGGTATATTTTACTAAACACCATGGGTTTACCCACTTAACACTTGATAATCTGTTATCAAACAGACAATAAAAAAATTGCAGCTTATTCATAAAAAATGTTCAATAACTTTTCTACTGTATACAAAACGATATTATTAGGTATACATCTGAGCTACCACCTCTAAGTGCCAGCTAACTCATACATGGGAAATAAAGACAATTTTATTAATCTATATGACATAATTAGAAAAGTTACATCTGATGAAGGAAAAAAATCATATAATGAATAGTTTTGACTGTTTCTATATGACTACAAAATGTTTAATCAAATTCAGATGAACAAAAATCTAAGACCACACACACTAATAACTGACATACTCACTGCAAGTATCAAAATTCTTAAATTTTCAAGTATATAAAAACTTTGAGAAATAAAACTGCATTTTTCCATGCTTTAAACACACACACACACACACACGCACTCCCTTTACTAAACATGACTGGTTCAAGTTTTTTTCAATATTTTAAAATTATTTCCTTTAATTTCCATATATTTGGGAATTTTCCAATTTCCTTCTGCTATTTATAATTTCACTCAGTTGTGGCTGGATAACATAGTTTGTTATGATTTCAGCCTTTTTAAAAATATTGAGAATTGTTTACGTTGGTCTGTGCAGGAAAATGTTCCACGTGCACTAGAGAAGAGTATGTATTCTGCTGCTGTAGAGCGGAATGCACTATATGTCTGTTCGACCTAGTTGGTTTAGTGTTGTTTGAGTCTTCTCTTTCCTTAATGATCTTCTGTTTGGCCATCCTATCCATTATTGAAATAAGGTACTGGAGTCTCCAACTATTATGACCTGTGTACAAGTATTTCTCCCCTCAATTCTGTCAGTTTTTGTTTCATATATTTTTGAGGCTCTATTGTTACGTACATAAATGTTTATAATTGTTATACCTTCTTGATGAATTGACCCTTTATCATTATACAATAACCTTCTTTGACTCTCATAACAATTGTCTTAAGGTCTATTTGGTCTTATTTTAATATAGCCACTCTTAGTGCAGCCACTCAGCTCTTCTGGTTATCATTTGCATGTATCTTTTTTCATCCTTTATACACACACACACACACACACACACACACACAAGATATATATAATCTTTGAATGCAAAGTGAATCTCTTAAGACAGCTTATAGTTAGGTCATGCTTTTAATATATTCTGCCAATCTTTGCCTTTTGAGAGTTTAATTTTTTATTAAATACTTACAAGTGTACCATTTTAGTTTCCTTGTCATTTCTTTTACTATATATGTTTTGTTATTTTCTTAATGGTTGCAGAGGGGATTACAATTAACATCTTCATTTATAAAAACCTAGTTTGGATTATACCTAATTTCAATAGTATACAAAATCCTTGTGCCTATATAATTTCCTCTTTCCCTTGGGTTGTGTCACAAATTATCTCTGTCATGTGCCCACTAATATAGATTTATTTTTTTGTTTTATGCAGTTCTTTTAAATCAGAGAAGAAAAAAGAGGTGTTACAACCAAAATGTACATTAGAACACTTTTATATTTACCAATGTAGTTATTTTTACCAGTGTTATTTCTACAAATGATTTTGAATTAGAGTCAAATTCCCTCATTTCAACCTGAAGGAGTCTGTCAGCAACAACTGTTTTTGTTTATCTGGAAAAGTTTTATTTATTCTGGCAGCTGGCCAGTACAGGATCCAAATCCTTGACTCTCTGCTGTTCTCAATAAGACTCTTGGTCTCAAGGCACCAGGCTCTCCCAAGTGAGCTAACTGGCTCATTACTGAAAGATGGTTTTGCTAGATATAGAATTCTTGGTTGACAACTTTTTTCTTTCAGAACTTTATGTATGTCATTCCACTTCCTTCTATAGTCTCTGATGAGAAACCAGCTCTTAATCTTATTAAGGATCCTTGCACTTCATAAGTTAGTTCTCCTGATGCTTTCAAGTTTCTCTCTTTACTTTTGACAGTTTGATTGTACGTCTTGGTGTGTTCATCCTACTTGGAGTTCACTGAGCTTCTTAATTGCATAGATTAATATTTTTCATCAAATTTGGGAAGCTTCTGGGCATTATCTCTTCAAATATTGTCTCAGTCTTTTCAGGCAGCTATTAACAAAATACCACAAATTAGGCAGCTTACAAACAATAGAAATTTATTTCTCACAGTTCTTAAGGCTGGAAAGTCCAAGATCAAAGCATTGGCAGATTCAATGTCCAGTGAGGGGCATTTTCTGGTTCACAGAGCCTTCTTGGTGTCCTCACATGATGGAAGGGCAAGGAATCCCTCATCACTCTTTATAAAAGCAGTAATCTCATTCATGAGGGCTCCACCCCCCTGGCTTAGTCACCCCATAAGGCCTCAACTGCTAATATCTTGGGGGTCAGGATTTCAATATATGAATTTTGGGAAGACCTAAACATTCAAACTACAGAAAATATTTTCTCCACCCCTACTCTCTCTCCTCTTCTCTCCTTCTGTGATTCCCATTACAGTGTGTATGCTGTATATGCTGGTACATGGGATCATATCTCTGAGGTCTAAACATTCAAACTACAGAAAATATTTTCTCCACCCCTACTCTCTCTCCTCTTCTCTCCTTTTGTGATTCCCATTACAGTGTGTATGCTGTATATGCTGGTACATGGGATCATATCTCTGAGGTCTCTAAGGTTCTGTTCATTTTTCTTCATTATTTTTTCTTTCTTCTCTTCAAACTGAATATTTCAATTAGCTTACCTTTAAGTTCAGTGATTGTTTCTTCTGCTTAATCAAACCTGCTAATGAAACCCCCTAGTAAATCTTTCATTTCAGATACTATACTTTTCAGCTCCAGAATTTTAGCTCCTTTTTATAACTTTTATATTGATATTCTCTATTTGATGATACAACATTCTCCTGGTTTCCTTTAGCTCTCTGAGCATAATTAACAGTTTACTTAAAGTCTTTGTTTAGTAATTCTAATGTTTATGATACCTCAAGGACAGTTTCTGTTCATTTCTTTTGTGAAAGGCCTTACTTCCTTCTTTGTTTGCCTCACAATTTTTTGTAGAAAACTGGACATTTTGAATATTATAATGTGGCCAACTCTAGAAATCAGGTATTTCCTCCTAGTCAGGGCTTGTTGTTGCTGTTTGTTGTAATTGGTTCCTTATTTAATGGCTTTTCTGAACTAATTCTGTAAAGTCTCCTTTCTTTGTCATGTGTGGCCACTGAAATCTATGTTCCATTAGTTTAGTGGTCAGCTAGTGACTGGAAAGAGATTTCCTTAAATACCTGCAACCATAAAATTATCCTAGTCTTTGCAGATGAGCTCTGTGTCATGCCTTCAATACTCAGATAGGCAGTTTACAACTCTGCCTTGGCCTTCACTTCCTGCTTGTACAGACCCTCAATCTCAGCCAGAGGGGAGAGTGTAGGACCTTTTCAGGTCTTTCCTGAATATGTGCATAGCTCTGGGCATGCATGGCCCTTTCTGATCACGAGGAATATGTAAGAGAATTTCAAAACCCTATTCCCCAAAGCATCTCATTCCCAGCCTTTCCTCCTAAGCTTTTTGGTTAGTCTATTGTTTGCCCCAGCTCTTGTCCTTTGTGGCAGGCAGCAGCAACTAATACATATGTCTGTAAATGTTTTTTACAAACACTGTCAGGATAGTCATTTCAGAACTGGGAGAGTTCCAAGTTAGGTAAGGTAAAAGCAAATCTTCTGAACCAGTCTTCCAGGAAGCCACCAGACAGACAAAACCAAGTTAATTACAATTCTTTGTGAATGAAGTCCATCCTGCTCCCTGTACCAGTACGAAGAACTGGACCCTATTATTTTCAAGGATACCACTGAGCTGGGGAGCAGGGGATGGGACCAGGTTAAGTTAAAATGCCTCAAAGCTCACTGTTCTACTTAGATTCAGAGTTTTTTCTTGATTGTTTCCCTGGTTGCTACAAGATTTTGGTTAGTTGCCAGAGTTTTGAAAATTTGATTCTGACAGTTTTTGCCAATTTGGGGGGTTCTTTTATGGAGAGATGGATTTTTTGAGTTCCTTACTCCACCATTTTATTTGTTTTAAACCCAGAATTATGCTAAGTCCAGAAAATGCACTGATGTCTGCCTACCAGGTTACAATGATCCCAATGAAGAAAAGGGGTTCAGTACAATCTTCCATTGCATTAGTTCTAACTACCTAAAAAGTGGTCTGCCTAGGCAGAAAGGCTTCTCATCTCTGACCTGCATCTTTTAATACATATAAGCTTTTGGCAAATGAGGGAGGCCTTAAGTAAAACTGGAGAAGACCCATTGTAAGAAATGAAACAAGGAAATATTATGGGGCCGGCCCGGTGGCGCACTGCTGTAGTGCGCCGCTTGGGAAGTGTGGCGGCGCTCCCGCCGAGGGTTCGGATCCCACATACAGACCGGTTCCCGCTCACTGGCTGAGCGAGGCGCGGGAGCAACACCAAGGGTTGCGATCCCGTTGCTGGTCCCGGTCCGGTACGGGGGCGACACTGAGGGTTGGGATCCGTTGCCGGACACGGAAAAAGACAAAAAAAAAAAAAAGAAA